TTTAGCTATTGTCAAATATGAATTCATTTCTAATTTTAACTGAATATAAGAATTATTTTTATGTATGTATCTAGAGTTATACGAATGTTTTATTTTCCAAACACGGTCAGCTCGTTGTGGCCGTGTTCATACATTCACTTAAAAGTAAAAAAATAAATATATATATATATATATATATATATATATATAAAATAAAATCATCCTCGATAATTGCTAAAAGTATAGCCGAAAGCACTCGAAAAAACAGAACATTTTAATAATTTTTATTAATTTATGTCCAGAAATATAGGTAAGCATATTCTCGGGAGACTGTTTCACAAAGTTGGGGTTCTCGGTAAGAAGTTGTCTGAGCGAAATTTATTTCTTATCTTGGCATAGTGAATTCTAGCTGTAAAGGCCTGAACTGGCGAAACTAAGGAATGTAGCTCATACGAACATTTTCCATGGTAATAGCGATTGATAATTTACTTCGTCCGTAAGTAAGAGACTGTAGGGTTGATGATAATTCAACGCGCACAAGGCCGTTTAAACGCTTTTGAACATTCTCATGCCTGAAAAATGAGCACCGAGAAATATCAGCCGAGATTTTTTAAAATAATTTCATCCCAAACAACACCATAAAGCCACGAGGACTAAACTAGTTACTGAGTGTTAGAGAATATCAGAAAAAAAAAACTTCTATTAATGAGAGAGGACATTAAAAGAATAAGAATTAAGAATACAGAAGATGACGATTGATATTGCATTGAATTTTTGAAGATCAATGTTCACTGGGAAGTAAGAAACCGGAAGGAAGTTCTATAAGCGAGAAGTGTGGCAGAAGAAACTCTTGGCATAGAACTTACGGTTACATGTAACTATTTTAACTATAAAACGATGAGACCTTACTTCAAACTAGTACTAAGCCTAAATTTATAAATTCTGGTAAATTATTTATCAAAAACACCTGATGATACCGTAAGGTTAAAACCTGGGTCGTGTTAATGGTGAATTTTTCAACCTTTTAATATTATTATCCGCTCTACACATTCAAATTTTAGAATTGTGTATTGAGCGCATTCTTAAAATATCCGTCCTCTGGTCTGATTCCGGTCTGGCCAAATACTTTTATAATCTGATTGTTGAGTCCACTAAAACACGTTGATCTCCATTCTACCCGCTCCAAGGTTAAGCGCTCAAGGGTGTTATGTGGTATATTAACTGCTGACAAGTTGCTTTTCAGCTTTGTATCTTAGCCATGGGCGTCCTACCTTCCTGTAGCCCTGATCTAACTGGCTGTACATTAGGATCTTGGGTATCCTGACATCAGACATTCTCAAGACATGACCAGTCCACCGTAACTGAGACTGTATGATAAAAGTTCCTCCAATATTACACCTATTAAACAGGTCGACGTTATATATATATATATATATATATATATATATATATATATATATATATATATATTCAACAAATAATATTAGATATTCAACACACGCATGCATGTGTAGGTGAATTCATTCCCGGGTATTTAAATTTGCGTTGTTTTTAGTTTTTTTTTGTTTTTTTTATTCCGTTTTAATTGACATTTAATCCATTAAAAAACAGGACGCTTCCTATAAAACAATGAGGCATTCCGAAGTAAATGATTGAATGAAGTTCGACTTTTTCTTAATGTTTATCCTGGATTTTGATGACCTAAGCTGTGATGTTATTTTATGCAATAATAACTAATGTACACTATTTACATTATTCGGACTATTGTCCTTATCTTTGTCGCCATATTTATTACAACGTTTCGGCCGTTGCACGCTCCGGCTTTCTTCAGTCTAATGTCAGTTATCAGTTATCTCCTGTTAATTCCCCTCTCCAAGTTCTCCACTGCCTGAACCAGGTATTGAACTCACACTCTTTGGGTCCTGTCACTGGATCTAACTAATGCCTTAAGCCACTGAGCCATGTGCCCTTGAGGGTGAGTTTAATACCTGGTTATGGCGGTGGAGAACTTGGAGAGGGGAATTAACAGGAGATAACTGATAACTGACATCCTTTAGACATGGCAAGTGGAACTAGAATAGTCTACCCAAGTGAGCCCAAAAAAAGGGGGGTTCAGTTCGATATTCCAACCACCTGAAGAAGGCCGGAGCGTACAACAACCGAAACGTTGTGATAAATATGACGACAAAGATGAGTCCGAATAATATAAATAGTGTACATAATACCTCATCTCAGAAATATAGACAGAAATAACTAATGCGCAAATAAAGATGATGTACAACTTTGAAATGTATACAGAATTATTAGAAATCTTTAATGAGGAAGATTGAATTGGCCAGAAATGCCCTTCTGTGTTTATTTTCAGATGGCATTAGCAGTATTTAGTTTTAAATAACTATATTAAGAAGATCGTTTTTTTTTCTTTTATTTTGGCTTAAAAAAGTTTTCCACAACCAGCATATAATGATTCCAACATTGAAGCCTGAAGAAAATAAACAAGATCTTTTTGGCATATTATTCTTTTATTTTCGGAAATGTAATAATGCAACACAAATGCAAAAAAAAAAAAAATCTGCTTATGAAAAATGCAACGCGAATGATCCAACGCCAGATAGTGGTTAGTAAAGTTCTGTGCTGGATATGTCCCGCTAAACGATTCTTCACGTCGGGTAGAAATGTTGAAACTGATAGTGATGAAATCAAGGCATTCTTGAAAATTAGTAAGGTTATACAACCCGGGAGATACGCAACATACCCCAAGACGTCGAAATAAGAAAATTATTTCTTTCAAATTGGTTAAGTTAGTCGCTTTGATGTGTTGTTTCCACATCAGTTAAGCAAATAAAACCAACTAGACGATAATCATGCAGTTCCCTACTTAAAATGTTCTGACTTATGAGTCAAGTGAAATAAATCACCACTGATTATGCCAAGAACCGGTTTTCATTCGGTTTGTTTATGTATGATGGCAACAGAAAAGATTCCTTTTCTAGGTATTTACTGTGTCTACCCACTAAGATGAGTTGTGACACAAGGTCAGTTTTTAAGGTAGGGACCCGAACGCACACACCCGGGCTAAGAAAAATTGTCTGCAGCTCCCGCAAGCGTCGGTTGCGCTGGCCTCTCTCTCTGGTGCAACGAGAGGGCGCGGCATCGGGCAGCTGTTGCCCAGGGCTGGGCACTTCTCAGTCTAATTTTCCTCAGTTGCGCCTCTGTCCTTTGACGGGGTCGCCCCAGTGTGCACTCTGCCCAAAGACAGAGACGCAATTGAGAGATGATAAATAGATGTGTTACAAACCAATCATGAGAGTGAGAAAAGAGTCGTCTACTATAAGCTCAGTGAGAGCGCAGTTGAACTGTCAAGTAAAGAAGTCTCAAGGCAGATTCTTCTTCTTCTTCTTCTTCTTCTTCTTCTTCTTCTTCTTCTTCTTCTTCTTCTTCTTCTTCCTTTCTATTACGTCGTGCGTTTGTTTATTTATTTAAAGAAATAATAAATTGTTCATTAGTTTAAAAGAAAATAAAACAAAGCGTTAAGAGGTCATTTGATAAAAATCGCCTGAGTATACCGTAAAGTTGAAACCAAGGTAGCGGGTTAAACTGATCTCCTGATTTTTAAAGCATATATATATATATATATATATATATATATATATATATAAGGAAATATAATTTTAAGGTGTGCTATATTTATGGGATAAAGTGCTCAATATCAGAGATAGAGCGTATGTAAATATAAAATATATATATATATATAAAGTGAACATTGAAGTCAACACTCCAGAGGCGACAGTCTGTTTCATGCTAGACGCAATCGCCTGACTATTGCGTCTAGCATGGAACAGCTTGTCGCCTCTGAATGCTGACTTCAATGTTCCCTTTATATATATATATATATATATATATATATATATATATATATATGCATGTTTCAATGAATAATTTAGACTAGTTTTTCTACTATTTATTTTCAGTTGGATCCTTTCATATTCACAGAAAAGCTTTTTGGTGCCACTCTATTAAAGGAAGAGAAAAAATCGCCATGTTGATACATCTTATTTTATTCCGAATACGTTCGACATAGCACAATGTCATCATCAGGGTGTCGTTTAATTCAATACAAGTATTGCAGTGTTCATCATTTTCAAAGACAAAATTTCTGCGTTCATCTGAAAGTTACATTTTTTACTTGTGAAGAACGCTGAGCGATTACGTGATCGCTTGACACCGCGTAAAAGGAGGTAACTAAATAAGTTGTGTCGAGAGCTTTTAAGAAATCAGTATTAAAACTATTACTACAAACCTTGATATTTTAAACTTTCTGTTGTACAGATTTTAAAATATTTTTGCACTATTCATAATTAATTTTATTAAGAGTTGATCTCAGTTTTTTTTAATATAGATAGCTTCCAGAATTTTTGGTTTATGCCTATTATTTTCAAGAAAAACTATAGGTGTACTTACAACACATTTTTTTTTTTGCGAACGTGGACAGGTATATTGTTGTAAATGTTTAGAAATGTTGGATATATCATTCAAATGAAAACTTATACGTGTGTATGTGTTTATATTAATACATATATTTGGGTTATTATATCTGCTTTTCGAACAAAACTGATTGTGTAAGAAAATTGATAAATACGTTTATTATTTGAAATATGTTCATTTCTGAGAAAGTTTTATTTGTTTAATTTGATTAATTAATATCGATGCCTGATTTAGATAGTGTCGATCAATCCGTTTCTTCGAAAAAGACACATATCAAAATGACTCGATTATACGAAAAACTCGTGTCTCTCAGTTTTTGGCATCTGACTCAAGCTCTAAAGGCTGTTTCGATTTTTCAGACAGAAATCTGTTAGATTTTATTTGCAATGAATTGTTGCCTATCTACGATAATTTGACCAGGAGAAAAAAGAGGGACTTGAAAAACTCACCAATCATCTTTCATTTCCTTTGAGAATTTAAAAACAGGTCGAAAATAATGAAATTAGAAAGAAAGAAACAAGAAAGAAAAAACAAACTAGAAAGAAAGAAAGAAAGAAAGAAAGAAAGAAAGAAAGAAAGAAAGAAACCGAAATATGTGTAAAGAAGTAAGGGATAATGAAAAAGTAAAGAGAAAGAGGAAACGAAAGAAAATGGAAAGGAAAGAAAATGGAAAACAAGCAAAAGTAATGAAAGAACGAGTAATAAGAAAGAAAGAAAGAAAGAAAGAAAGAAAGAAAGAAAGACAGAAAGAAAGAAAGACGAAAAACATGCAAGTAAAGGAAAGCGAAGTAAGGTATAATGAAAAAGTAAATAGAAAGAAGAAAGGAAAAAAAATTGTAAGAAAAGAATAAACGAAAGAAAACGGAAGAAAAAACCCGGAAAAACAAGCAGAAAGAAAGAAAGAAAGAAAGAAAGAAAGAAAGAAAGAAAGAAAGAAAGACGAAAAACAAACAAGCGAAAGAAAAGAAGAGGCAGAAGAAATTTGTATCAATAACGAAAAGGAAAACAGAAAGAAAGGAAATGTGAGAAAGTATTATAAAAAAAGTGTAAAAAAACCCCAGAAAAACAATAAAGATAAAACTGCGAAAAACTTAATCTAATGAAAAAGGGCCTTCCATCGAGTTTGAAAATCTAAAAAAGATCAGTTTGAAATAAAAAATGAAATAAAGATGATTTGAAAAATATAAAAAGCTTAATCGAAATCAGGTGAAAAGCAGAAAATTAATCTCAATGAGAAAATAAAAAGTTCGAGAAGAAAAAAAAGAAGTGAATTTAAAGAAACAAAAACCGTAAGCCGTAATGGAGTCTGCAAACCAAATTTTGGTCTCATACCCCTAACAAATACAATAAGAGATAAAAGGATTCTTCATCTGAGTAAATAAAGGACACTCAGAAAAATAAATGAATGAAAAATAAATAAAAAAATTAATAAAACAGAGAGAGGAAAATATATCAGTAAAATAATGTGAGTGAAGTTAAAAAATGGTTTGGCAACAGTCTGACGTGGCTGTCGCATTCTGATGAACATATTCCACTTTTATAGATTTCTATGTATATATGTGCATCCTTTCTTTGCAGCTTCTCACACTTGTCTGTAAAGAGAAGGCAGAAAAAAAAACGACAAAAAAACAAAAAGAGAACAAAATAACAAAAAAAAAAACAAGCGGAAAAAAAACAAAAAACAAAAACAATTAAAATAAAAATTGTTCCGCTCAGTCGTCGTGTTTCAGGACGAATATAAAATAAACAAAAATGAATAAAGCGCAAGCGAATGCAGACCCATTGTTCAACGACAACGGTAGAAGAACAAAAACGTTCAACTGCGCAGGCGCATTAATGAATAGAATAATTTTGCGCGGGGAAAAAAATGAAAAAAAAAAAAGTGAAAAAGCGAAACTGACCGAAGAATTATGTCTATTGAATGGAAAATTCCCTCATCGTTTCGCATGACTTAATGATGTTTTATCTCTAAATTGCTCAACCAACGACTGCCGTAAATACTCACTTAGCTTGTTTATTTCTTTTCTGTTGAAATGTAGATTTGTTTTATGGGTTTTTCAACCCACCCAGGCAACACATTTTTCGCTCATTATCATTATACAGCGCCGCCTTCACGGTTCCTTGACTTTCTACATGTTATTTGGAATTCTATCCATGGAACAGCGAAGTATTTCACTTATTTTGCACACTCTCCAATTCGTTTTGTTTTCCTATAGATTCTCATACATACATACATAGAGATAGATACAAATATAGATATTTTCACATGAATACATATATATATATATATATATATATATATATATATAGTATGCATAGTCCCATATATTGTACGTATATAGATGTATATAAACTCTCATATGTATACAGAAACGTGTAAAAATTATATATATATATATATATATATATATATATATATATATATATATATATATATATCTCAAACCAAACACAGATACACGCTCACGTATACATACATATATATATATATATATATATATATATATATATATATATATATATATATATAGGATGATTCCGATATATATATATATATATATATATATATATATATTAATCATCCCAATTAAGGCAGTAATACCACAAAAGCAGGTTGTGGAAGAATTAGGAACAGAAACATTATTGATGATCCGAAGAGAAAAGAGTATTCAGTATACATACATACACACACACATATATATATATATATATATATATATATATATATATATATATATATATATATATATATATATTAACCCTCCTAATTAATACCGAAACAGAAACGAGTAATCAGGAGAACAGTAGATAGCGATTGACATTGCATTTAAATTTTTTCAGGTTAATGTTGGCAGGAAAGCAAGTCGCCGGAAGGGAGTTTCACAAGATTGAAATGCGAGAAAAGAAGAAACTAGTAGCATAGAACTTGCGGTTAATTGATGTGATCTCGACGTTTAAATTCATAAAGACTAGGTAGTGAATGACTAAAAACATATCCGTAAAAGTACATGAAAAATACAAAAGGATAACTTACCT